AATAATTTGTGTATAACAATGTTCTTTTTTTTTCTATTCTAGACATCGAATTACATATATAATTGTTTCTTATGTTCTAGATAGACTGAATATTTCAACGATGTCTTGGGACCGATCACACCCTTCTCATGACGAGTCGCGTTACAACGAGCGAATTATACCATCACCATGGCCTATTACTGATAAGACACACGAATGTATAACACGTCGTGAGGCAATATTACTGGTTGATAATGGAAAAATCCAACTGTTATTGTGTTTGGGTATACCAATAATAACATGTTTATTTTTGCTGGTGCTAATTACTCACAGGATATGGTCAAAATATTGTTGGAAAAAAGATGAAAAACAAACTGAAAATTTACAACATGATTCCAAGGATTTAAAAGAAGTTATTACACATCAAGATGAACCAGAAGACTTATCAGTCATGATCAATCCAGAAATGAAACTTGAAAAACTTGTTCGATTAAAATCGTCATTACCTTCACTTCGTGCTTTACCAATTGATTTTACGAACATTGATCTTCACAATTTAGTGAAAGATGATGAACACTTTAAACAAGTTCGTGATGGACTGGTTAAATTAAAGAATGATGATTTTACGATTGTATATAGTGAATGGAAAAAAGTTAAACATGATACAAGTGCAGTACCAGTTTCAACAAAAACATGTGTTGCATGTACATTAACAAGATTCATAAACAAATTTGTCGAAGAACTTGATGTAAGTCATGCTGTATCGATGTTACTTGTATTTCATCCCCACTTCTCTTTGTCAGATTCCAAAGTTTCACTTTATTCGTTTACTCCAATCTACTGTCGAAAAACTGAGTAGATGATTATGATTTTTTTTATAAATAAAGAAAATGAAAGTAGAAACCTAATTTATTTTTAATCTTTGCATCTTAGTTAATGATGCCGTAAGCTTTTTTAAATTTTAAGGTTCTACAACAACATGTCAAACATTTTACTACTCAATCAAATGCCTTCAAAGCGGCCAAACGAAATTCATTAGAAAATTCTGATAGTGCGACCATACAACTTGATTGGAATGAAAAATTATACAATAAGACAGGCAGGTGAAGAAAAATCAAGTTATTATTTCGAAAGACATGTTTCCATTCATAGTGGTTATCTTTGGTCGAAATTGGAACAATATGGCTTTGTCGCATTATCAGATGACACAAGTCATATGGGTGAATCATGCTGGGCCTCTATTCAACAGTTGTTAAATAGTTTAATTGAAAAAAATATCAAGCATCTAACATTTATTAGTGATTCCCCAATTTCACAATACAGAAACAAAACAATTTTCTATTTGATAAACGACTTTGCATTAAAACATGAAGTTATAGTTAGATGGTTATATTTAGAAGCAGGACATGGAAAGAGCATTCCAGACGCAATTGGTGCCATTGTGAAAAAAAAATTTGATGATTTAATTTCGCTCAATCCCAATGAATCGTATCTCAATGCTCAACAACTATACGATGGTATTCTCAATAATACAAGTCTGAAATTATTTATTTATCAAAAGATCGGATGTTATTGAAAGAAGTCATGTATGAATTCTAGATGTGTAATTCATATCAAAGAATTACGGTGCACGATTCACCCTAAGCAATACAGCTTTTAAAAAAGAATTTTAATTCAAAGCTTTGCTACAAAATTTACTTAAAATTGAATTTCCTTATGAGGATCGATATCTTATAATTCAGCTTAGGTCCATTCTCGATACATTACTCTAAAAGAGGCTTTCACATTCCCTGTAGCACTTTTACGACGACTCGGCGACTCTCAAAAAAAAAAGCTAAAAATACCGTTAAGCCCCCTCAAAAATTGATTTCGGCCCAGGATCATTCAAATTGTATGATATTTACATAATAGGCTAGAACAATACTACGGAGGCTATGATGAAATTTTCACGCCTATAACGTAATGTTTTCGTGAGATATTCTAATAACAATGATCGAAAATTACTCGTGTGGCAGCCTAAAGCTTTCTATGGGCTTTCATTCTACAGAATTATTTTCTTTTTGTTTGAAATAGTATGTGAGGATGCGGGACATGGCAAAGCCCTTTTTTAATATCCTTTCATTTTAAGCGAAAACAGAGATGAAAAGTTCAATGTCTCGAAAAACTGAAAAAATGGCGCTCTAGTTATAAAAGTACCAATTTAACCGATAGTAACAACTCTTAATTTGAAAAACGGGTTCTGTCATGCTCTGCATCTTAAAAAACTCTTTTAAGGGAAAAAGAAACCATTTTTTTTAATGAAGTTCCTTCGAGAATTCTGGGATGCTCGATCAGAAAAACATAAATTCACAAAAATCGAAAGCAATTTTCCATTTCGTCTGAAAAGCAATATTTCTTAAGAAGAAAATAGCAGAACCTTTTAGAAGAAAGCAAAGTGATAAATAAAAACTCATGTCATTTTTGAGCAATCAGACCTCCAACTATCTTCCTCTGTAATTATCTCAATAATTATGCTATTCACCAAAAATCGACTTTTTGGAGCGCGGTAGGTTTTTAATTTTACGAAATTTTGGCTATCCTTGATAGTGGTAGTGAGACAACTGCCAGTCTCCTTTATTTCTTTAGTAGTACTATCTACCCCAATACGCAAAATCGTTCCATTGAAAAATGAAATTTTCGAAAAAAGTTGAAGCCAAATTGTACAAATGGCTTGCAATCGTCTCATATATGTATATATGTATATGTATAGGTGCGACATCACCCTAACATACTCCCCAATTGGGCAAAAAAATGTGTCCTATCAACATTTTTTATATGACTAATAATGAATATAGCGAGAGAGGAATGACTAGTAACGGAAAAACAATCAGAAACCGAGAAAAAGAAAAAAAAACGAACCATCTATATGTGAGAAAAACGTTATGTAACAAGTATAAGTTCAAATATAGTATAACATAACAAAAAAGAAAAGAAAAATAATGATTTCAAGGTTTATAACGGTTAATAATAGAGAGACGAAGAGAAAAGAGAAAAGAATTATATATATATATGTGTAACAACTATAAATAACCAAGTTACATGTGCAAATGATCATAATACAAAATATACTCGATAGATGTATACTATTTTACTTGTATAAAAACTTTTTTCATTTGGTATGGTAATCACGACGATTTACATTTCGATCATCTTTACTAGATGATCTAGCTTCACGTCGTTCATACTTCAATTGATTATAATGGTCTGTTGTAAATAATGTTTTGGTTTTAATTTGATATTCTTCTAATTTAGATTCATCTCGTATTCCAATATATAATGTTTTGTTGTGATTAATTGAAGAAGTTGAAATATTTATAACATAAAATAAAATATTATTTTGTCGAAGAATATTTTTTATTTCACAAATTGAAAATCTTCGATCAATATTTCGTCGAATTATTTCACATCGATAATAATGTCGTCGCTGCTTGAGAGTACATGTTCTGTTATGAATTTTTTTTCTTTCTTCTTTTGATAACGGTTCATTTTGTTCAGGTTCTTCATCAGTTAGTGTTTGATTAGTTGATTGTGTTGTTGCTTGTGATGATAAATTAAGTGAACGTTGTCCATGCTTAAGAATATCCGTGCTAATAAATAATTGATGAATTGCTAAACAATCATAAGCCGCATACATTGCCATGGACTTTCGATCTTGAAGTTCAGTTGAATTGAGATATGTTAGTGTTGGGTCAAGACCAACAGCAAATGATGATAAAGTTTTTCTTTTATCTAACCATTTGTTGAGCTGATGAGCGACAGCATTCTGTAACGACCATGGATCGTTCAACTTGATACCTAAGCACGTTTCATAATCACATTGTAATTCATTACGACTTGATAATGATGTTGGGTGTGGGTGGGGTGTGAGTGTGGGTGTGTGGGTGTGTGAGTGTGTGAGTGTGGGTGTGGGTGTGGGTGTGGATGTGGATGTGGATGTGGGTGTGGATGTGGATGTGGATGTGGATGTGGATGCGGGTGTGGGTGAGTGGGTGTGGGTGGGTGTGGGGGTGGGTGGCTAGGGGCGGGTGCGGG